AGAATAAGGGGATACTGCATGGTTTAAAATCAAGAAGGGAGTGAATTAGGGTTGTATCCTTTCATCATATTATTCAATCTATATGCTGAGCAAATAATCTGAGAAGCTGGGCTGTATGAAGAACAACATGGCATCAGGATTGGAGGAAGAATCATGAACAACTTGTGATATACTGATGACACAACTTTGCTTGCTGAAAGTGAGGATGACATGAAGCACTTACTGATGAATGAAGAATACAGACGGTAGTATGGATTACATCTCAATATAAGGAAAACAAAAATTCTCACAACTGGACCTATAAGCAGCATCATGATAATGGAGAAAAGACTGAAGTTGTCAGAGATTTCACATTGCTTGGTTCTACAATCGATGTCAAAGAAAGCAGCAGTCAGGACATCAGACGATGTATAGCACTGGGCAAGGTGGCTGCAAAGGACCTCTTTCAAGTGCTGAGGAGCAAAGGTGTTTCCTTGAGGACTAAGGCGTGCCTGACACAAGCCATGATATTTTCAGTCACCTCATGTGCACATGAGAGCTGGACAACGAATAAGGAAGACTGAAGAAGAACTGATGCTTTCGAGATGTAGTGCTGGCTAAGAATGCTGAAAGTACCAAGGACTGCTAAAAGATCTAACAAATCTGTCCTGGAGGATGTGCAAGCGGAATGTTCCTTGGAAGTGAAAATGGCCAGACTTCGTCTCACCTACTCTGGTCATGTCAGATGGGACCATTCCCTGGAGAAGGATGTCATGCTTGGTAAGGTGGAGGGTAGACGAAAGAAGGGAAGGCCCTCAATGAGATGGACTGACACAGTGGCTGCGGCGATGGGTCCAAGTATAGCAGGGATCATGAAGCTGGCGCAGGACCAGATGGTGTTTCGTTCTGCTGTGCGTAAGGTCACTATGAGTCAGAGATGACTTGATAGCACCTAACAACAACAATGGAGTCAATGTCAAACCATAGTAAAGCTAAATGACAGAGTAGAATTGCCTCATTAGAGTTTCCCAGGCTGAAGTCTTTATTGGAGCAGTTCATTACGTCTGTTCTTTCTTGGAGCGTCTGGACCGATTTTTTTGGTTAAAAGCCAACCAGGTGGAGACCTGACTCTTAACCTAGGCTGCTTACCTCAAACCTGGCTATAAGGGGCAAATAGGAGCTCACCTAGTATTCTCTGGCTCAAAAGTGCTGAATATTATAAACCTACATGCTCCTCGTCACTGGCATCTTGTGGTGGTGAAGTTTGTGTGTCAACTTGGCTGGGCCTGGTTGAATGGCTGGGCAGCTGAATGTGGTGGGATTGGTAATTAATTGGTAATTAACTCCATGGTGGAATCTATTGCAGCAGCTGAGTAGCTGCTTGAAGAACGTGGTCAGCTTCCAGTATATAAGAAGCAGCTGTGAGACAGGTCTCCAGCTTATGGCACGCTCGAACCCTGCATGTAGTTGTGTCATTGTCCAGCAGCCTGCCATGCTATGCCAACCTAGAGACTTTCAATGGACTTGAATTAATGACCTCCTGTGTGGCTCAGTAACATCGGGACTGTGCCTTTTTACTTGTCAACCTTGGGCTTGTCAGTCTCAGCAGCCAGTAGTTGTCTGAGTGGAGAAAAGCCTCCAGCTTCAGTGGGCCAGGATCAGGATGCAGAGCTGAAGCTAAGGTTGAGGGACTTTCACCCAGCCTCTAGAGCCTGGCACTTTGAACTCAGACTTAAAGCCTCCAAACTGTAAGAGAAAAGTCCTATTTGTTAAGGCCATCCCATTTGTAGTATTTCTGTTAGAGCAGCAACAGGTAACCAAAACACATGGGCTTTTCCCAGGTCAGTATGTAGCCCAGTATTTGGCATAGGCATACAGTCCTTGTACACTCTGAGCATCATCTTTAGAAGACTCAGCCCCATCTGTTCCTCCAAATCAGGGTCAAGGGTCGTCCCCACACAGCTGAGCTGGGCTCTCGCAGTAGATTTCCTCCCAGGTATTTCTAGGACTTCGTTTCTTTTTTTCTGAGCACACGCCCACCTTTCCAGGCTGGTCCCCAGGCCAGGCAGAGCCCTAGTCTTTCTGCGCTCTTACCTGAGATGCAAAACCTATGCACTTTCACACACACTGGGAGATCTCTGGGATCCTCTCCACGTGAAAGCTCCATTCCTGGTAGTTTGTTAGTTGGTGTGATCTTTTATGGAGATACAGTGTCATTAACAAGAATGTATCACTAAAAAATTCTCTGCAGTGACAGTTCAAGAGGAAGCCATATAGTTCCTAGAGGGCACACTATCCCCCTTTACAGGCTTGATTTTTTTCAAAGCTACAGATACTCTGGTGAGGCTGTGAATGCAATGTCAATGACACATAGGTGCTTAGTGTTGCCATTACAGAAATGAGGATGATTAATACCACTATGATACATAAGCAAGAAATCGTTTAAAATGACAAGATAAGATAGACCGACTGATCATCTCTTTCATTAAATGTCTTAATGATAAACAAATACACACATACCTCCCTAAACCTTTTTCCTAAAAGTGAAATTAAAGTCAGAGGGCCATGAGTAGTTTGATCTCTCCAATGCCATGTGTTGATAAGTTGTAATGTGCAAACGACACTATAGTAGTGCTCTCTGCGCTAAAGGCCCTGTGGTAGTTAAGGTTAGGTGCTACTTTTGCTGGTCTAGTTTTTGAGTGGCTGAGCAGCTGGATATAGTTATTTCCCATGATGTGACTGGTAATCAGCTCCATGATGGAATCTACTTTGAGCAGCTAAGTAGTTGCCTAGGAATGTGGTCTGCTTCCAGTATATAAGATGTTCTGAGAAAGGCTTCTGAGCTTTTTGGACCCTGAATGTAGCCAAATCTCCATTCAGCAGCCTGACATGTTGCTTGCTGGTCTTGGGACTGTTTCTGGACTTGAACTGGTGGCCTGCTATGTTGCTTAATAATCTCTGGACTATGCCATTTCACTTGTCAATCTTGAGTTTGTCAGCCTCAGCACCTGCCCGAGTTAAGAACAGCTTCAGTGGGCTAGGAGCAAGAGGCAGAGCTGAAACCCAAGGTTGAGAGGTCTTCATCCAGCTACAACTGGCACTTTGAACTTGGACTTCTAGCCTCCTAAACCGTAAGAGAATAAATCCCTGTTTATTAAAGTCATATATTTGTGGTATGTCTGTTATAGCAGCACTAGATGACCAAAACAGGCCTCCTAAAGGCAGTAGGCCCCTGTTATCTAGAAGAGGAGCAGAAACTTTCTGAGCCCTACAATCATTCAGTGAAAAGTGTTCTCAAAGTGTGCTAACATGGCTGGGAAGCTGCAGCCTGTTTCATGTGGCTAGGAAGAAAGGAGGGACCACCCATATGCTCTCTTACATAGCAGGCAGGGAAGCCACTCTTTTTTGTGTCTGGTTACCAGATTTCTGACAGTTAAGAATATCAACGTGCGCTCTTCACAAAAAGCAGTATTCCTTCTAAAAGTACACTGCGTTAAAAGATGGTAGCTGTGCCCTACCTTTGGAAGGGAGAAACAGGAAGATGACCTGCATGTCATTATAGAATGAAGGCAGAGGCAACACCAGAAGCTGAAATCTGCGTCTTTTGCATTAAAGAGAGTACATTCTGCTTTGTAGGCCACCATCTTTGCTCTGCTCTGCTCTAGAAGCAATGGGAACATTAGCCCTAACACAAGAATTGGGACCACCTTTGGTCCCTGGGCCAAATTCAGCCAGGTACCTATTTTTGCATGGTCCCTGAGATATTCTTAGCTCACATCAGAACAGTAGTTAAGTGCTCAGCTGCTAAATGAAAGGTTAGTGGTTTAAATCCACCCTCTCTGTGGGAGAAAGATGTGGCAGTTTTCTTCCACAAAGATTAAATCCTCTGAAACTCTATGGCACAGTTAGTTCTATTCTGTCCTATAAGGTTGCAGAGTTGGAACTGACTTCATGGCAATGGGTTTTGGTTTCACCAGATGTAACAATTTCCTTCACATGATAAAAATTTATTTATGATTACTGAATGACTAAGAAGGATCTTACTGCAGACTATATGCTATACTACCTGAAAGCAAGCAGATGAAATTGCAACAATGGGAAGAAAACTTGACAATGTAACAAAGTTGGCATCTCAAATCAGGGGGTGGGGAGAATGAGCTATTAAAACAATGGTTTAGGAAGACCATTTGGAAAAAGGTGTCACATTTTTAAACGGTTGAAGAAAAAAAAAATCAGAAGAGTATTTTACAATACCTGAAAATTATATGAAATTCAAATTATGTCCATAAATACTCTTAGAACACAGCCATGCCCATTTGTTTATATAGAGTCTCTGACTGCTTTAGTGCTACGATAGCAGAGATGAGAGACACAGACTCATGTTACCTGCAAAGCCTAAAATATTTACCATTCTGTCCCTTTATAGAAAAAGTCTGCCAGTCTTGCTCTAGATGGCTAAAGTCTGGCTGCCAGAAACATTTAAAACATTTTCAGATTTCAAAGTACACGTGCATATCTTTTAAACCAGATAAATAAAATCTACAAGAAGGCATATGATGGTCCTACCTACCTTGGGGTAGCACTCAATGAGAACCTGAATTAACTGACTTAAGGTTTACTATTTTCCCTATTACTGTATCACCCAGAGATTCTCCCTGAAAAATCTATCAAAGTGTGTAAGTTCTCCTCACCAGATCTTTGCTTTTCTTCTTTTTCCTGTTGCTTGTGTCTATGTTAGTAAGTTAACTTATATGTTTAAAAGGTACATACACAGAAAAGAGACAAAATTTATAAATAAAGTTCACTTTCTAAGAGTATTTGAAGATGGTAGCCTCTTTTTTCCTATTGTCAATGTGAAGTCTGTAGGACAAATGATATTAAAAGTCAAATTCAGTGTTGCCTTGAAAATCAACAACATTTAAAAAAATATATCAATACTAGTCATCAATATCAAAGCCTAGTTAGAGGGGCTGAAGAATTCCTTTTAAGTTTCTTCTTTCTGTAGGCTATACAACACTTACCAACAGGGATGTTTGAGGTGGTCACAGCAGTAGCATGGGATGAATGTGAGGGCACTGTCATGGTAACAATTGTACTTGTGGGAGCTTGTGTGTGTGACACAGATCCTAAAATAGGAGGAAAGAAAATATTTCTCAACAATGGCCTCTGCACACATTACAGTTTCTCAAAAACCTGAGAAAAGCTCTTATCTAGCCTATTCCTTCACTTTGAGAAATTGTCATAAATGAGAAATTAACTTACCATTCATGTCTTTTTCCTCCATAGGAAGAGTAGGATTATTAACTTACCAGCTGTGGTTGCTGCAGGAATGGTGTTGGTTGCCAAAATAGGTGCTACTGTTGCAGCAGCTACTGGTGTACCCGTACTGAAGATCGTTTTCTGTAAGGGAAAACCCCCACAACACAAAGTTATAAATAAAGACTTTTACCAAAAGTAAGCACTGCCTTCAATACTGCCAGGTCTTTAACAAGTTTTGCACAATTCTACCTCTTAGTCAGAAAGTACACAGATTGTTCTTCATGTCTGTTTTTACCTGAGCCATGGTATGAAGCTGCTGTTTTGGCGTTCCTAATGCTGGGTGAGATGGTAGTGTGATTCTGGTTGTTACATCCCGCGACTGGGCAGGGCGCTGAATACTAATTGCTGCAGATGGTGGATGCTGAATAGACAAAGTTGGCCGACTGAAAAGATAGAAAAGACATTACCATTTATAACTTGTCCACAAATATTGTAGAGGGTTTTTCCTACCTTGTCTCAGATCATAGTCATAAAATTTGTATTTTCTCACAGTTCTGTACAGTCTACAGTTCTACCATGTTATGTTATGTGCCGTCGAGTCAGCCCCGACTCATAGTGACCCCTCTTTGGGTTTCCGAGGCAGTATCACTACGGAAGTAGGATTACCCGACCTTCCTTCCGAGGAGTGGCTGGTGGGTTTGAACCGCCAGCCTTCTCGTTAGCAGTCAAGTGCCTTAGCCACTATACTACCAGAACAGTTCTACCATACTTGGTCTTTAATTACTCCAAAGAATTAAGTGCATACTTGGTCTTTAATTACTCCAAAGAATTAAGTGGTTATGAGTTGAACATTTACCTGAGGTAGATATACCCCTTGGAGAGAACAAACATGGGAGAAAGAAGGGCTGCTTATGCACAGGGAGACAGCTCAAGGGACAGGAGTGCATGGAAGGATGGATACAGTGAAGAGGTTAACTATCAGGAGGAAGTAGGAGGGGAGATGTTGTATTGTGGTAAACTGTGGTCAATGTCATGAGACAAAGTATATGTGATCTGCTTTATGGAAAGTGTATTTGCTCTGTAAATTTTCACCCAAATCACAATAAAAAAGAAAAAAGAATTAAGTGGCCCATGGAATTTCTTTCCTGAATATAGCTTAAGTCCCATTTTAAAAGGTATCAATATGTACCATTAACTATGTAAACTATTCTTCAGTCATTCTCATCATCCTTGATGAACTTAATCAACACTTAATAATCCTGCATGAGCAAAACCGTAATGGACACATTTCACTCTGGACAAGTTGGAAGATATGCAGTAAGGTTCTCATGTTATAAATTTTTGACAGATTTGCTGAGGGAAGATTACAGGCAACCTTAATTAATAGGCTCTTAATCTGTGACTCTTAGAGCATGGATCTCCCTTGTGATTTTATATCATTCCTTACCAGATGTATGGAGCTTGGCTAGAATACTAGTTAAGTGCTCAGCTGCTAACCTAAAGGTCAGTGGGTCAAATCCACCCTCTCTGTGGGAGAAAGATATGGCAGTATGCTTCCTTTGAAACTCTATGGGACAGTTAGTTCTAGTCTGTCCTATAAGATTGCTGAGTTGGAATCTACTTGATGGCAAAGGGTTTTGGTTTCCCCAGATGTAACAATTCTTTTGACATGATAAAAATTTAGTTACCATTACTGAATGACTAAGAAAGATCTTATCACAGATGGTATTCTATGTCACCTGAAAGCAAGCAGATGAAATTGCAACAATGGGAAGAAAACTTGACAATGTAACAAAGTTGGCATCTCAAATCAAGGAGTGAGGAGAATGAGCTATTAAAGAAATGGTGTTGGGAAGACTATTTGGAAAAAGAAAATTGGATCCACACAGCAAATCAAGCTAAATACAAAAGGATGAAAAATTTAAAGGCGACTGAAGAAGTACATGAAGAAAAGATAGAAGACGGCATTTATAAGCTGGAAGCAGACGATATTTGACTATGATTCAAAATGCTAAGGCTATAAAAGAAAAGATCAATAAATCTGACTAGGTGAACAAATAAGTAAACTTCCTATATGGCAAGAAATTACAAGAAAAATCAAAAGACCAATGTCTAACTGGGAAAAAGATTTGTGACTCCAGCCACAGACCAAATAATACACAAGAGCATTAGGACTCAAACAGGAAAGAACTGCCCAATAAAAAGTGGGCAAAGAGTATGAATAGCAAGTTCACTAAAAAAAGGTACAAGTTGTCCCTTAACAAAGAAAAGATGTTCACCTTCACTCTTAAGAGAAATATAATTTAAAATACATTGAAGTATCATTGTTTACCTGCCAGACTGGCAAAAATCCACAAAAGTGACTGCATAGTTTATTGTCAAAACTGTAGGATACAGGTGTTTTTTTTTTTTTTTTTTAAAAAAAACAATTCTAGAGGGAGTATAAATTGGCCTAACCTTAAGGAAGGTAATTAGATAGTACAACAGCATATACCCCCTGATCACTTTTGGGAATTTACCCTATAAATATCCTTGCAAATATGTGCAGTATCATAAGCACAAAGTTATTCACTATAGCATTGTTTATGACAGTAAAAGATTGGAAACACTTTCAAATGATTCACACAATGGATCCCTAAAAGAACCTGGGAACTCTCCATGTACTGAAAATATAAAGCTTCCAATGTTATATGGGGGGGGGGGGGAAGAAGCTAAGAATATATAAACAATCTTTTGAATAAAACAGTAAAAAGAATTACATTTGGATTTGAAAATATTTCCAAAAAGGAACACTGGGAGGATACTCAAAAAGCTAAGACAACATAGAAAGGCAAAGAGAAAGGAAATGGGAAAGTGATAGGGGATATAGGAGAGATGATACTCCTTATTATATGCCGCCTTCTATTACTCTGGTAACATAGTGCCTAAGGCACTTGACAGCTAACCAGAAGGCTGGTGGTTCAAACCCACCAGCCACTCCTCAGAAGGAAGGTTGGGCAATCTACCTCCATAGTGATAATACCTCAGAAACCCAAGCAGGGGTCGCTATGAGTCAGGCCTGACTTGATGGCACATAACAACAAAAACAACAACAACATCTATTAATTTTGTATTTTGGAACTATGCGAATATAAACTGTTGTTGCTGGGTGTCAGAGAGTTGGTCCTGACTCATAGCAACCCCATATATAACAGAAAATAAATTAGGAAAAAATAAAATGCTTAAGCTGAGCTGTAAGGGTGACAACTTGATTAGGACCTCATGTTGTTTTTGAGAAATCCTTTTCCAAATGGCTTTCAATTAGACCTAGTGAATATCAGTGAGAAAAGTTTATAAACTCCTTAGAGGATGGCCTTATGCCTATAAGAAAATAACAAATGGATTATCATTAGAGTTCAAAGGAAAGCTGCAGGCCTTGACACAGACACAGCTACAGAACATGGTGGACCTCACTGAGGTGAAAGCCATCTCTATTGGGGACAGGTTTTTAAATAGTTGATGAAATAGTCCATGACAAACACTGCCATGAAAGTTGCCCCTCAGCTAGCACGTACAACTAAAAATATTAAGAGATACACATATATACATGTCATTATTACAGAATCACCTACAGAAAGGGGTTCCTGAATTCAAACTTAAATGGTCTTATATTTCAAGACATCCAGTTCATGTAAAAATATACCCAAAAAGAATATTTAAATGTATTAAAAAGTACAGGATATAGATGTATCTTATTTTCATTTATTCTAATGAACTATAGCAACTGTTAATATTTAAATAAAACATATCAGGGGGCAAGATGGCGGACTAGGCAGAAGGATTGCACAGACCCTCTTCAACAAAGAAAAGGGAAACCAATTAACACAGATACAGAAGATAATCTTGGACCACTGAGCCTTGAAGGAAAGGATGCAGATTTGGACTAAACCCCAACTAGCAGAAGAATTTGCGTGAAAATACCAAAAAAAAGGAGACCTA